TTTCCTTGTTCGCCCCCTTTTTTTTTTTGCTCTTCCATCCTGTGCTGCTCGTAAATCGTTAATGAATCTTTAAATCTCCGCGCAATGAAGTGTCACTGTATACGTCCAATCATTTAGATTACATTTTTGCATCCTTCCCTAATGGGGTTGGCTAAATGGCAAAGGGCCTCAGTGCACTTCTTTGCTCACGTAACATTATATATCTGGCTAAGTTGTAACAATTTCCTTACCGACTGGAATGTGTCACTTGTAGGATGAACCATTGTATGTGTGGATAGCAATTGCTATGTTAGCGACTGCATCACCTTGAGTCACTTCCTGAGGTTTGCCTGGGTGTTGGGCATGACGCAAGCAGAATCATTCCCAACGCCTAGGACATGATTCAAGGGAACTATGGGATCGATAAAAATTCGATTAATCGATTATACTTTTCAATCGATTGACAGCCCTAGTTTAAATCGATGCAAACGAGAAGCAAAAGTGATCGTTTTATGGGGTCCAATAGGGTTCCTCTCGTGATTCCGATTCCCGGAGACAATTCAGTATTCGTAATTGAAGACCTGAAGAGAAAACTGATCCATCTTTGATCTCAGAAATCCGAACCTGGCCTCACGTGCGAAGATCCCTTTTCCTTTCTTTAAAGGCAGTACGAAAGAAAAACACTTCTTCCTTTTATAACAGTCACTTCAATCTTGACTCCCTTAGAAGCCTGAAAAAAAAAACTTTTTTATCTGTGAAAAGTTTTCCTTTCAGTCCGTTAATTTTCTCTCTGCTCTCTTTCGGCAATCATGTCCTTGAGTTGAACTTCTCCTCCGACTCGGTCAATGAACTCTCGCTTTGAAGCCGCATGGAAAGCCACCATGAAAGCGAATACACGCGAAGTCGACGGAGTTCCCTTCGTCCTTCATCCAATCGTGAAATTGGAGAAAATCGGGAAACGGCGGCTGCTTTGGCCGTGCTCAGATCCTCGGATCTTAGATTTCCTCTCGAGTGATTCCGAGATGCGATCTCTTCGGATGCTGATCCCCGGAATGCTTCTCGGGACCGAGACGGCGTCTGAGAGACTAAGTGCAAGTGGTCAGGGGCAATTTCCGGCACAAGTTTTTAAATCGCTGCCATTGGGGCTACGATGTTTCAACATGGATGATAATCCTCATGCGAAGGGAAAATTTCGTCCTCTTTCGATTGGCGTTCAAGTAGATTCTTATGCTGTACTAAAAGCTAATCGTGCTTTCAGGGGTACTGTTTTTTTTAATTTTTATTATCACCGTGCATATTGTGCATAGCCACCTCCCTTTTCTTGGGATAAAAAGCAATTATGAGATTCTTGCCTCGGAGCTGCAGAATCACTGCTGAGAATATATTGCTGTACTAGCTTTTTTTTTTTTAGATCCTTGCTTCCTCATCGAACAGGCAAATATTGCTCCGTATACAAAGAGAGAAATATGTATAAGCTCATTATGCTACATGTAATCGTGCAACAGTTGGTGGGAAAGAAACAAGCCGTGGTGTTGAGGTTCATGTAGAACAATTAAATTTGGACTTTGAATTCAATTGTCGCAGATAGAAGAGCTCAGGACTTCCATAGATCATATCAGCCCTTTACAAAGTATTGCTCAGAGAAATTATGTTTAATGAACTACACGAGGTCGCCCCCCCCCCCCTCCCCCCTTAAATTTTTCATATTTCGTACCTATTTAGAGGTTCTATAGGAGTAAGTCCGCATGAGTTTCCTTTCCTGGCGTTCGAATAGAGTTAGAAACAGCGACAGATAAAACAAGCCGTGCCAGTACAGTCCAGTTGCGAATCAGTGAACGGTGTCCGGTTTTAACGACTGTTGAGAACAGGAAGAGCATGTCGCTGTTTGCTCGAGGTTGGATGATGGGAGGAGGAGAAACAGCGAAAGCTACGTACGCGATGTCAGCTACGTACGAAAGCTGAAAGGGAACTGGCAGGCTTGTTGTAGACCTTAGAGTACCTGGTCGCGCAGCTCCCTGCCCACTTGGCTCAAGGAGCAGGGACAGTCGCTAGGGAGGCTCTTCCGTCGGCAAGAGTGCTTACATAAGCATGGTCATTTACCATCAGACGACACAACAGGCAGTGTCCATCTTGTCATACCCATACACTTTCCCCGTTCTTCCTTCGGTCTCATTCGATCACCTAGCCAGCATTTCTGATTGCCCTTTTTATTGGATGTTTGTTGCTTTGAAGAAGGAATTCATTACATCTAACGTGAACTTAGGTCAAGACCTCTCATGGTGAATATGCATTATACGTTGAGTAGTCGAATCGTACACGAATGCATCGAGAGCAAAAAGTGGATAACGCTTGCAGCTGGGTCGTAAAAATCTCCTTTCGAGGGAAGGACTCGATATCCGCTGACCGCCCTGATCTCTCCTTGTCTCCTTATCTCCGATGTCTCCTTGGGATTATTGAAATCCTAAATGTTCTACATGTTTCATAATTCATGCTCAAAATTCAAATATTCAATTAGAACAGACCGCGAGTGATGTGAATTCAGTTTTAATGGATTGTCATTTTTCCAGAATGATTAATGTTCTAAACATGCAAATAATATTCCCCAAGTAGCAATTTTGATCCAAGATAAATCCATTGGACATACCCTCATGGAAACTTGGACATCCAATGCATATCCTCCCCGGACATCCACTGGATGACTAAATGTCTCGTCCAAGGATAATCCTTGGACATGTCCATCGGATAGCCTATTGGATGTCCTTTTTTTGGATCCCTTGGAGATTCCCTATGGGAAAGCTATCGGATGACCATTGAGGAATGCAGTAATAGCAATAGTAAACCCCATCCCCGGGTAGGAATGGGTCTAAATTTGCATACTAATTAATATTCGTAGCAAGGGAGAGGAGTACCTTCTGAGATTACCAAGATTCCATCCACTCACGTTCCTGGGAAGAAATATCAATAGAAGAGAAGTGTTTAGATGGAAAGTAAGGTATTACTTAGATGCTGTTCTCATCTTCCCATCCAATTTCCAATCAAGAGACTGTTTCCCTTTGCCAAAAGCGTCATGCTCCACGTTAGAATGGAATAGACTTCCTTCCTTCGGCTTGTACATGGGAAATTATCGAGTAGAGAATGAGAACTTCCGCAGAGCAATTCATTAAGATTAAGGAAATCTGAAGATATACAGTAGTGGATTTATTGCCACTTCGCTTATATTGTGGGAACTTCATTTTTATTGAATGAACTGCTAGATGTCAGGCTAGGTGGAGGGCCTCAACTGGGCGGAGGCCTCCATCCAAGGACATCCATGGGTAGACCCTGAGAGGATGTCCTTGGAAGTTCCTTTGCTGAACGTTCAATGGATCTCCTTAGAGGGAGTGACACATCATTTCGTTCCTAATGTCGAAATCTATATGAAATCATGCTCTGGTCAAAGGATAATATCACACTGTTCATATAATAATTGAAGTTAATGGATTTCGGCCTTAAATGAGACATTTGAATTTAAAAAATAGAACTATAGAAATCCCACGCTCGGATGCTCGTAACGTCATTAAAAAAAAAACATAATTCAAATAGAACATAACAAATGGAAATAGTTGTTTGATGTAGGGAAATTCTGCTCGGATGAAGCTCAGAATGCATTAAAAGATATTGATCCATGGCGATGACATCCCATGTGCATCTATAGGACGACCGCTCCTGGACCCATCTCTGGACAACTGGACTGTCCATGGACGAGTTTTGGATCACCCATGGCTACTTGGGATGTTAATTTCTGGTTGGATCCCTCACTTCAGAAGCAGTGTCTCATCAATGAATTTATGGGTGCAACATTCAATACATTAATTTAAATTGTTTTCAATCAAGGTGAGCGAAAAGATAAAACACCCGAAGGCCTACAGTTCGTCGCAATCTTCATTCCCACGACGAACCAGAATGTTTATGCCCGTGACGAACGTGTTGCTACATAAATAAGAATAGAATATGATATTTGTCGGACTAAAGAATAAGATGAGCCTCAAATTAGATGGTTGAGGGAAAGTGGAAGAAAATAATGCCAGCTTCATTCTCTTGTAATGAGTGGGATTAATTAGTTTCAGCCCAGTAATTGATGCGTGAACAGACGGAAGAAATCCTCTGGGAAAAAAACTATTCTACCTGATTCCCTTCGAAATCGTGCTTACATTCCATTTTGAAGCTTCCTGGCCTCATCCGTAATTTTGTCATACTGATTTTGTATCTAATTTATTTCTCGATGGACTGATACGGCTCATTTTTGCGGTACGTTCAAGGAAGCGCTTGGCAGGGCCAAGGGGAGGTGAAGATGAAGGCGGTCAGGAGAGGGCAGGGGTGCGGCCGAAACCGACCAGGACGTTGTCCCATATGCCACGGAGACCCCTCGTGGAAATCGAATACCATAACATCAACTACAAGGTCTCCCAGGGACGAAAAGGTGAAGTACCTCTGCCTCTCTTTCGCAATCATGGCGTTGATGAAGGCACGCGCTTGAACGCATTCGCATTGGTTATATTCGTGATCGGAAGGTCATCCTGAGCATGCTCGTAGATGGGCATTCCAGTGAAACTCTTCAAATATCCAAGTTATCCAAGAATCCAAGTTTTCCAGCTGCTTATAGTAATGTTCGAGTGGATGTGCAACGCTCAACATTCATAATCTGTCCTCAAATAAGCCAAACTCATTCGGCATTTATATTGTATTCAAAGAGACATCGTTACGAATTAGTTGTTTTTTTTTTAAATGGTTTTTCCAAAATGCTGACACAATTGAGGATAAGTTTTCGCCCTCGTAATTATCCTTAGGCTAATGTTCGAAGACAAGACGATTTTGGTCACGACAGAATAACTTAAATTTGAGAAGCAATCACGGATGCAAGTTTTGCTGTGAGGAGATTATGGAGGAGGAGGATGCTTCAATGCATGATTATCTCATTCGATTGCGAAGATTGATGACTCTGAAGGCTTGCGCTGACAACTGGCTCCGATGGAATTCTTCGGATGATCCACTCCAGTCGAGATCAGCCGATCCCTTATCGGGCGAGCTGGGATGAGCATTATGGATGGATGAGTTCATCCCCGTCGGAGGGGATGAACTCATCCACCCGAGCGGTTGACTCCGAGGAAGTCGGTGATTGTCAGCGGCTGGCCTTAAAGATGCATCACAACACAGATCAGAATGTCTTAACTGGCATTTACATAAATATGAAACTGGAAACACTGTTAAAGAATGATGAACAGGTTAAATTTGTGATTGTATGTGTGCCTCATTCCATGTTTCGCTGTCCCTTCTGTGCGTTATCTCCTGCATTTTCGCGTTCTCCTCGCGACAGAGATCTGCGAGAAGCAATTCAGAAAATCCCGTTGTTTCGAGTCCAGAAGACTCAACGTTTCGTAAGACGTAAACCTCACGATTCAGGTCAGTTTCCGTACAAACGGCGATATGCCGAATCTTTCTTCGTTTAGCTGAATGAATTGCTGGGCGTCTTCATCTGAGGCATTCCAGGAAGCATGCCAAGACCTGTGTGCGTGGCACGTGTACGTGTGCGTGCTGGTGCTCTTCAAGACGCAAAAGGCATAGATTTCCTTAAAGGATATTCACCACAAGCCGTTTTAAATTCTTCTTCGGTCAAGTTTTATACGGCTGTTGAGGACCTTTTTGGTCCTGTATATGCAAAGGCCATTTGTTTACAGTATCGGCCATATCAGATGCAATTTTATGGCATCTCCTAGGGTATAAAAACACCCCGTTCTTAGAACTCTGGAGATAGCCATCACTCTGGTGGATCGATTTAGGAGTCTCTCTAGACTTTTTATCCTCCCAGAATTTTATGTTTTCAAACCACCCATCCAGAACTCAGCTGACCCTTTATTAATACGTTGATATGAAGGGTCTGAGAGTGCCGCTCCATGAGAGAGATACAGCCGCATTCTGTCCCGCAAGTACCGGCTGAATCTTGCTGGTATCGACGTGCGTGCCGAGTGCTCAGTTCGGTCTCCGATCGAACCTCGAGCCAGTAGGTGTTACGATGGTGGAGTTGAGAGCGATTGAACAATTATGGAACTTCTCGCCTGGAAGGCATTCTCTCCTTGGCTACATTTTTCCCTCTCGGGTAGAAAGGCTTTCCTTGGAGCAGAAGGCTCAAAGGCATCAGGTAGAGGTTCATGATTTATCGTCATCTCTTACCCGAGGCAGACCTATTGGCTCTCTCTGAGGAACAGCGCAGCATTCTTTTGGGTCCAATCTAGATCCCTTTACAGCGCGAGAATCCCTGCGGCAGCATCCCCGTGATCGAAGATCGACTTAATTGGATATTTCTTCCAGCAACGAATCAGGTAGAGTGTCCTAGGCTTTCACGCGACTCAGAAGTGAAGTGGGAAAAGCCTGCAAGTTGCCTGCTCAAGTTTTCTCCACGGAAAGATGACCACGTCACTTTAGAAAGCTCGTCGTCCAGCCCGTAGGCTGGCGGAAATAGTACTCTGATTCCTGGGTTTTGAGGCTCTGCGTCAACTTTCATTAAACTTGAACTCTGTATGCTCCCAAGCATTGATGCTGTTCATCATTCCCACCCGCCAAACTTTAATTATTGAGGGACATCTTGACGGAAAGTCAAGTAAGGAAAGGAAATCGATAATCAGTAAGGCAGTCATCATTCTGTGTCGATTGAGGTCACAGCCTCCAGTTTAGCGACAAAAATGCAAAAAACATTTCAGCACTCTCCAGCCCATCTTACCTTCTCGTAGCTGCTGCGTCTGCAACTACTGTTCAGTTTGCCTTTTTCGCAGTGGAGGCTATCAAGCGAGCACATCCTTCCTAATTCATGCGACGTCTCATGTCGTGTTATTAAAAGACTTTAGGTGAAGGCAACGGCAATGCAAAGACGACCCAAGAGACCTCTCCGTTGACCTTTGTCCATTTTTTTCCTACCAGGAGTGAAGCACATCTTGAAGGAAATCGATGGTCATATAAGATGTGGACAATTGACCGCCATCATGGGGCCCAGCGGGGCCGGGAAGACTTGTTTCATGAACGTCCTCGCTGGTTACACGTGAGTCACCAAAACTGCTGGTTATTCTATCCTTCGTTTACGTTTTATTACGAAATCAGAGCCTTTTTCGTTCTTAAAGCGTTTTGGGTGGGTGGGACGAGAATCAGACCCTCGCTAAGGAAGCTGTTGGGTTTCCTGAGACCCTGTGTGTGAAATCACCCATACAACTGTGGCAATGGTGTGGATTTCTAATTATCATAATTTTGGCTTTTTCTAATTGCATTAATAAAGACAGGCTGAATATTTGTTGCATTTTCTATATATACTTTATATATCAATATATACTTTGGAAACGCATTCAAGTACAGCACTTCGAAGCGATTGCCAGAGCCAGTGGAAGAGCATTGAAAGCAAGGTGAAAAAAGTAGGAAAGGAAGGAGGAAGGGTTGAATGGGAGATTCATTTCTGGATTCGGATCAGGACAAAGGGAGTGACGGGAGCGGTGACGGTGAACGGGAGGGCGAGGAACCTAAGGAAGTTCCGGAAGCTGTCGGCGTACATCACCCAAGAAGATCACCTGATGGAGTGCTTGAGCGTGGGCGAGTCCATGGCCATGGCCGCCAACCTCAAGCTGCCTGCCACCTTGTCCAAGGAAGAGAAGGCAAACGTCGTGAGTCCATCTTTGCCTTCTCTTTTCCCAGTGAGGATGATTAGTATTGCCTCGGGTCACGCGGTCTCTTCACGCTTTTCCTTCACAGTCTGTGAATGCATTGCCCTATTGCAGGGGTTCTCAATCTATGGATCGCGATCCTCTCCCGGATCGATATGGGGTTTTGCTTTGGATCTCCTAGACCCCAGTGCGCAAAAAAGGAAACAAATGTTTAATTTGTGTCATACGTGGTGCTTTATAATTCGATACATTATCTCCTATCAGCGAACAACCTTTTCCCTTGAATTGTAGAGTCTCGACGAAGCAAAATACGAGCTGGAAAGGGTATCCAGGCGTTCCCACCAATGAATATAGAAGTTATCATGAAAAGAGCCTGGTGAAGCACTACAGACTCGAGCCCTGATGACCCATCGAGAACATCTAGCAGTTAGAGAGTAACACGTGTTTGGAATGCTTCTAATCGGTGTCTTCAGTTCGTATGTGAACGCAGTCAGACTCGTTCCCATAGAGACCCTTTGTCCTTTAACCTTTAACCTTTAAGAGACCCTTTAACCTGTACCCTTTAGAGTCTTGTACCTTGTTCTCATTTACCCTTTAAGTTGCCAAGGGAATTTCAGTCCTTTACCTGAAAATCCCTTGACATCTAAAACGAAAACGTATCGGGCTTTATCTCTTACGCGCGTATTACGGTAGTGGTACAAACTGCGTCATTTAGTGCTTTCCAATGTGTGGAATATATGTTCCTGTTCCCAATATCATTATCCGATGACAATTAAATTCGTAGTTTTCTGTATTCATTTTCTTGTATCTTTTATCACGAAGTGTTCCCTTCTCTGAAGGGAGTGCAAACGGAAGCAAGAGTTTCAGCATTTAAAATCGTTGCTTGCATTTGAACGGACCATTTCATTGCGTTTACTTCGTTCGCAAAAAGTTTAGTTTGGACTTGTAACAGGTGTCATTTCTGAGGAAGATATAAGGAATGAGTGCGGTTCCCTGTGACGTAATTACTGGGGGTACACGGTACATGGGCTTCAAGATAGAGAAGGCCTCTGTTTTATTTCTTTTGTTTCTTTGACTTATTTCTTATTTATTTGATTCATTCACACCCGTATTTTAATGTAGGTGGCAGAGATCCTGGAGAATCTGGGTTTGTGCGAATGCGTGAAGACCAGAGCCCAGTCTCTATCGGGAGGTCAAAGGAAACGGCTGTGCATCGCCCTCGAACTGGTTAACAATCCTCCCATCATGTTCTTCGATGAACCCACCAGGTTAGACGGGACTCCCTCCGTTGTTCATGCCAATCTGATCCCCGTTCGAGGGCATGGGAATCGTGGGATCATCATGCTTAAGGGGAGGAGAATGCGATGTAGGGTTTTCTTCGATATGTGACCTGTTACAAGGCTCCTCTTGCTTCTTTTTGGCTTCATGAGACGAAGCCCCCTTTTCCATTCCTTCCAGTCCACGTCACACACGTTGTTGCACCGTAAACAGTCATCAAAAGGAAGCAGTAGCATGAAGTGTCGTCATAGTAGAAAGACGAAGAATCACCCTTTACAGTATGGTAGCAATCATACTGGCGAGAATAATGAAGAAAAAAAAAAGAATCTTACGCCCTCCAAACAATGAACGTTTCAATGGCTGTTAAAATGGAAAATTTTGAAGCAGGCTCATGATGAAGCCCTTTTAAAAATCACGTTTCGTGTAGGTATTGCTCGCCCAATAGAGAAGTTTCGACAGCATTTTTACGATTTTCGAACGATGCAATTAAATGTCCTTTCGCTTGCAATGAGGAGCAAAGAGGAGTCGCAGTACTTGCGTCCCACATTAGCCGGACGAATTATGAAAGAACTGAGCCGATGAGAGGCTGAGAATCCATCGACTAAAGCAAATAAAGGTATAGCAGTCGGAGCCATTCTCTGTTGAGCCATTTTCTCAGTTAAAGCCTTCAGGAATGGTTCGAAGAAAAAGGGGAGCGAAATGACCAGGAACTCCTTAACATCTCTCCATCTTTCTCATTTCTTTCATCAAAGATTGCAAAGTCCAACGGTCCTCAGATGATTTTTGTGAACGTTAGGTGAAGAGGGAAAAGAACCTGAGGATTGAGCAATCCTGTATGCCTAGATTTAAGGGATTTTTTTATTTTTCATTTTTACAGCGAAACGAGATTACTATATTTCCATCGCTTTATTGCGCTGCAGTGAGCTGCGCTGCAGTATAGCGAGTCGTATTCTCGAATGGTGGAACATAAGTATGCAGCCGAGGGGGATTCCATAGAAACCCTCCCAGCTACGAAGCACAAATAACCATCTTTATCCGATCGTGCCTTTTCCATAAAGAAGAGATATAGAAATGGGTCCATGCAATCGTCAAAGAGAGAGAGAAGGGAGGGGGGGGGGGGGGGGGGGGAAAAACACCCAAGGGCC